TGCACCCTGTTGGTAAATCTTATAACTTTTTAATGCTTTTCCATATCATAGAACCAACTTTTTTAGTTGAAACAGCTGACTAAATTCTTTAATTCCCTTTAAATATGAATACTCATAAGGTTAACATGGGGAATTACAGAGCCACTGGGGCGGAGCCCGAAAGGATTTTTGAGATAAGAATATGCCTATATGTTAATCGGGAATGTAAGCTATCATCATGCCAAATTTCAGCCCAATCCGTTCAGTGGTTTATGCGTGATTGAACTTCAAACACACAAACAAACAAACACACAAACTTTCACATTTATAATATTAATAAGATAAAAGTGTTCTCTAAAATTATTTATTGACTGCACATTTTTTGCAATAAAAATAATACTATTGTTTAACGTTAGTAATATTTAAGTATAACCAATGACAGATATACTGTAATAATAAGGGGACATCCATTCTTTGCAACGGGGGGAAGCACGGGTACAGCAGCTAGTTAATTATAATGTCGTGCGTACCTAAAAATAATATATTTGGTGACTCCCTACTACTATAAGAATTAGTAATTCGTCTGAAGTGTATTCATGCGAAAATTAATGTAAATTTTTCTTTGTTTCAGTAACCAAACTGGTAAAGAGTTGATTTGGTAAGCTACAATATTACACTCATTTAGTATTTTACATACGCTTTGTAACATAGGCAAAATTAAAATTCGTTTGGTATTGTAGCCAAATGTATGTGATAGAATTGATCACATAATTTTGGTTTTATCAAATAGTTTCAAACAATTTACTTGTTGAATGATTTTATGCAGATTTGTGTTTGGCAGAGTACAATAGAGATATTTTCAAAAGGTATAGAGAACATATTTTGTTTATTAAAACATGCGGATTTTTTTCTATGATTCTGTTTAAAATACGTGATAGAGTTCTCACGATTCTTCTGTTGAAAGAAACACAATTTTGAGAGGAAAGCAATATAGAAGCCATAATTTTGAAAGATTCTAGCAGCCGACGTTAACATTTTATGTTTGCTTTAGTGCAATATAATTTAGATTTTAAAATTTTCACGTTTTTAGTTGTTTACGATATATTGATCGTTGTTATTTTTTATATCATACTAAATGTTTCTTTTTTGTATTATAATGGATTTCGGTATTCAGGAAATTTGTAAATTTAAACTAAACATCACAAAATGTTTCTTGGAATCAATTTATGTTCTAAATTCAATTTGTATAAATATAGGCTTATGCTGTAATGATATGAAATCGTGATAAGAGAATGTGTTTTTTTTTCTTACTTACTTATTTGAATATATATACTTCCCAACCAAAGGACCCTCCTATTTTCACAACTCTTCCCCCAATGCAACTAGGTCCAAAACTTTCTGTCGGATGGAAGTAAAAGTTAAGTTGGGGGTAAATTATTGCACAACGGTTACGGACAAGTTTATTTCTTAAAGAACAATTCATCGACCCAGATGTGGAAGGTCAGATTAACGAAAGTTTAAGAAGCTGTCACAACATAGTTCACTGTGATTGTTGTGAAATACGTGTAACTGTTGTCAAACTAGTTTCAACAGTTGTCTGATGTAAATAGAAGAACACCAAACAATCCCGAGCTGAGGAATTATGCTTTTAATTAAAACTTTGTGGATTTAAGTTCCTCAGAAAACTGCCACTCATTTGGACTTGTCTTGATAAAGCAGACAAATGGAGGGAATTTCAGCAGTTAAAAGTCAACCGCAACTCATGGATTTTTTTATATTTGGTGGGACAAAAGAAAGTTAAGCGATTTATATAAAGATGGTCTGCAAGGAAATCTGTATAATTAACAGTGTTTTTTATAAAGATTAACTTAAAAACTTTAACGCAAATTTCATAAAAAAATGTTGTAGTTAATTCAATTGTTTGACTAATTACTCTTAGAATAAAAATGTCTACGCATTGCATGAAAGTTAAATATGTTTTTCAAGCCTATATAACATACATAATTCTATCAATTACAAATTCTTAATGAAGTGGCTTTTTTATATTTTTTAGAATTTTGGTTCGATATTTATCACTGATTTAACAATTATATCAAAGTTAAAATAATAACCCTACTAATTCTAATCCAATTCAATATCGATTTGAAGTTAAAGACAACAAAATCCTAAAATGTCCCCCCTTGTTGTTTTCTATTTTATATAGGTGGTATTTTTATCATAATATATACACATATAAATCAAGGAACACCGATTAAATAAAAAAAAAACTATATATTTGGAAGATTTTACTTAGGAAAACAAAATTACCAACCATGTATCTCAATTGGTAAAAAAGATAAATTTCTTAATTTACAAATACTAGTGTATTTTAGTATTATATGGCATTGTTTTACCTTTAGTTTTAAATTGTAAGAATTCATTTTTACTTATACGAGTTTTAAGGTTTTAAATATTGAAGCTATTTTTTGCTTTAAGTCAATAAAAGCCACGATTACAAACCTAGATTCACACAAAATGAAATGAAAATAAATATTTTTGAAAAACACACGTTGTCATTGTAAAATGCTTTATAAATTTATTTGTAATATAACAAATAACTTATGTAAACTGATGTTTGTAAACATGAAAGATGAAATGATAAAGTTTAAACCACGGGAGAAATTAATGGTGTAATTAAAACTTAGGCTTTAGTTTCAACCTTGCTTAGGCTAACGAACCGTTCTGTTGTTTCTTGAACAAAGTTAACTTCATTAATTAACAACTGGTCAAAATTGAAACTATTTTTTAAAGAGATGTTTTAAATATTGTTCTTTTAACGTCTTACATTTAAATTTCTTAAAAGTACAGTTGATTCTCATCACTTTTGACACTAATGAGACCAATATTGTGTTAAAATACCGGTAATTAAACCGTCAGACCACGGAAAATAGTGTCTAACTATTAAAAAAGTTATGTTAAACCTATAAAAGTAACAGGCCTTATTATGTACTACTCAACTATTCAACATCAACACTTACCAGTCCGAATATTATTTTGCAAAAAAATATTGTTTGTTGAGAAAAATATATTTCCGTTACCAACCCTTGTGCATACCTGTAAATAATGCTGTTATATCACAAAGTATAGAGAGGAGGAAAAAATCCAGATGAGAATGTAATTTGGACCAAAATAGATTTTAACTGTACTTTGGTGAAAAATATATGCACATAATCGTCATTTACAGTTAATCTAAATGCGGTGTTCAATGAAAAAATAAAAATAAAGGGTTCTAAATCATTAAGATTTTAAAATCTGCTCTTTAATCAAAATATGCAATAGAGGCTTAATCTCAAATATTGGAGGGTTTTGCTCTAACGCATTATTTATTTAGGAGTCAGTTTTTTTTCGGACTAGTGACATAAAGATATTTCAACTAACCATTATTAATCCTTACTGTATTTTATTAGTTTAAATACTTTTTTGGTGTCTATCGTAAGGTTTGACAATTCTTATGTTTTGTCAGCTCAAAAGACTACATTTACTATCAAAATAAATATAATATTTTTAAATTTTTATTCAAAACTTTGACATTTTATCGTTGTGACCTATCCAACAAAATATTGTGTTATTTAAATCAAATAGGTTTTTAACGTCAATGGCCAAAGCTTAAAAAAACAGTTAATTTCATAAATAAATTTGTTCTCTTTTACTTTGTTTAACAGCTGTTATTAACACATATTATATTCATTATTAATTTTATTGTTCTCTTTTACTTTGTGTAACAGCTGTTATATATACATGTTTTATTCATTATTAATTTTGTAAACAGTTTCAGTAATTCAATAAACATTTTTGTTAACATCATTTTTTTTCATTTAATATAGATTTTTCTATCAAATAATTATTTTACGAAGTTCAATTCACAACAAAACAAACATTAAGCTTTAAAGTTTGATTTTTTTAGAGATTGGCGTAGTAATAGAAAATATTTTGTAAAGCTGCTATTGTTATGTCTTACTACATTAAGCATTAATTGTTCAGAATTACACCTGTTACTACAATACATACAGCATAGCAAACACAAATTGGCAAGAACTAATCCCAAGGTATTTCAGAGCAATTATAATCTGCTATCTCAGTTTATCCTCGCTCATTTAAGTTGTACGCTCACTAAGATATTGAACAATTTCATTATATGTAAATAAATGACAAATATGTCACTATGTGTCACACTTTGTGTCATTTTTTTAAGGATTAAATTGGTAAATAAAATGCAGTGAGCTTTATTTTTAATATTTTTATAATCAATACATTTTTACACACACTGTGTGCGGTTAAGGTGACATGTTTCGAATTCTAGGACATCCATTTGGGTTCAACATGCATTTATTATTATGCTGTTTTGTAAAACATTAATTGGAGCAATTTTCGATCCAGTTTTATGTTACTTAGTAATTCCATTAACTTTTAAACTAAGCATAATATCTGTATACTCTTTGAAATCTGGATATACAAATCATCAAAATAATGAATACTTTTAGATTAAAATTATAGTTTTGTATTCATTTTTGAAACTTTTATTTAATAACTGGTGTAGATTTTTTTTTTAGATGGATGTTGATATGTTTTAATTACGAATAAGATAAGTATGCAAAAAAACTTATAAACTGGACCGTTGTATAACTATTATCATGGTATAGTAACTGTCCTTTCCCAATTCATACTTAGAATTTGATGATTATTGCTATATTGGTTTTAATTTGGTTGAAGCATTTCAATAAAACTTATTGAGGTGGTGTTTTAGGTGAAATATATTAAATAAAAAACTAATACATCAGTTTTATAAACTGAATACTTTAGTTGTAAATGCTCACATTATCAGAAAACAGGATACTTATGGAGGGGGTTTAATTTTTAAATGGATACCTGAGGGATAATCATTTTATGCCATATTTTAGATACTAAGTAAGTTTACTCATTTATTATTGTATGTCTATTCACTTCTATATTCACTTGTATTTCCTTAACACCCTGTACATGGTTCGAGCGGATCAGCATGTTGGTAATACTTCTCAACTGCGTCACCCTGGGCATGTACCAACCCTGTGTGGACTTCGAGTGTGTCACCAACCGCTGCAAAATACTGCAGGTTAGTCTCTTTGTTCTCTTCTGTGGTGGACTTTCTTTGCATGCAGAGTAGTTAAGGCTTCTATGGTCACATTTAATCTAATGTGATTTCACCAAAGTGATGTGTGATGATGTTTTGGCTTTGTTGATGATGGTTAGCTATAGCATAAATGATGGACAGTCCTATCTCTATACCTTATGATGCTACGCTCAAAACGGTTTTAAGCAAAATTTCGCTCGATCAAAAACCTTAAAGTGATTGGTTGAATTTTATCCCGGGACCTCAGGGACTGAAGCTCTTCATTCTATCACTATAACAACTCGCTTCTAGGAGAGTATTACTATTGTGGTATTTGTTATTAGCCTACTACATATTCTAACATATAGATGAAACGAACTAATAGATTTTTCAAAAAATTATTACATCTATACTACAACAGTTCTCCTTAATTACTGCTTTACCTTGGATATTAATATACCTCCAGTGTATGATTAGACTTGACAATACTAGAAAATGTTTGTTTTAAGAGATTGGTGACTCTTTTAACCTTGTATTTGCTTGCTTACACAGACATCGGACCTGTGTATGAAACACATTCAGCAAAGCAAGGGGTAAGCCGGTATAGTATAAATATAAACTGTACTGATAATATTTAGTGACATGATAAACTGCCAATATTAGTAAAATGAATTTTAACATAGCCAAAATATTGATGTGAATAGGTCTACGCTAACCACATAGACCAATTCAATGCCGTGGTAAAGATAAAATAGTCATTTGAGTCTTGGAACTCTGTGAGGATGCCCGAAAATTTTATAAAAATAAAAATAACACACCAAGATTACTTACTGATATTTCAATAGCAAACCACACAATTGCAAACAAATTTGTTTGATTCCAAACTGTTTCCCCATACGTTAGTTACAAAAAAATGTTCATAATTTAAAGGAGATAGAAAAGTTTTTGACGGGGTTAAACCACTTTAACGCTGTCTTTCCTGTCGGTGACCCTGATATCGCGTTAACGGTATATAGTCATCAATCTTCTGCCCTGAACCTATAAACCCTGAACGTTTCGATAAACCGGTTGTTAAAGTTAGTCAGATTATGCTATGTACTTTAAAATATAAAAGTCTAAATATGCTCAAATATGTAAAATTCTCTTATATTCAGAGTAACAAGTAAATAATATGTGCTCTTTGAGTTTAATAATAGTAATAATATAAAAGTGAATTGTGATAGTTTTAGCAGCGAAACACTAACGAAAGGTTTTGCCTAATTAAACTTGTCTTACTTATACATATTGTAGTGTAGTATGTTCAATATTACCTAATTTTAAATGTAGCATACACTGTATAACTCATTCAAAATAAAAATAAAGGCTTTGACAACACATACATTGATTACAGTAAAAAAAAGAAACACTCAAAGAAATATAATTTATTTGAGTGTCAACCAGAAAATTGTGGTTTAAATGTCACCAGGCAAACTTACCTCGAACTGACATAAATGTCTAACTGCATACATGGTTTGGTTTGAAAAAAAACTATAATGCTTAACATGACTCAATCTAGCATGCTTAAGTGACATGATTTACATCCGATGTCAAATCGACAGTTTTAGGTTTCCACTTTAAAATCGTTATTGATTATTAATAAAGGTAGCATCACTTTGAAACAAAACAAAACTATTTAAATAAATAAAGCAGTTTCCATAAAAAATAGCATTTTATGTATGAGTGACTAATACATTTTATGGGTATTTCTGTTAACCCGTTTTATATCAGTAAATTGGTTATTGAGATTCTAGTATATATTTATAAAAAAATCAAAACAAATTATGTATATTCATTATGAATACAAGAACTAAGCGTTTTCGGATTTTAAGTAAAACACAACACGACAGTTATTTCTAAAGTTAATAATATGATATTCTTGAGAGTTTATTATAAACGCGTTTTAAATTTCTATTTACCTCCACCTTTCAGTCAACTCTCCAAAATGGCAGTGGAATAGTTTAAAAGGTCCCATCAAAAGTGTTTTAGCGAATTTCCCTATAGGGAAGTAGCTATTACCGTAGGTCTCATGGTAAGACTTAGGCCCGGGACCGATTTACTTTTTCATTTTAATGTCCCCAGAGGCCAAAAACACCATTCGTTAAAATTTTTATATATGTATATATATATATATAGATATATATATATATATATATAGATTTATATATATATGTGTCCGTGAACACGATAACTTGAGTAATTTTTATCCGATTTTGATGAAATTTGGTTTGAAGGTGTATGGCGGGATAAACTTGAATGAGTTCGCGATCCAGCATGATCGGACCATGGGAACAGGGTTTTATGGGGGGTTTTATGGGGTAAAAATTGGTTTTTCTCACTTCTTACCCTCAAAACACAAAATTTCCCAATTTTTCTCTAAACCTTCTTAAAGAGCTTAAAAAAACAAACAATTCAGTATATCAAAGTGTTTTTGTACGGTTATTGGTTACGGAGAAAACTAAAAAAATGGTAAATTTAAAATTCCCATGTTATTCTTATGGAGAATATTGTAAAATGTTGTAGTTTGCTTGTTTATGGATATATTTTAATCAAACTTGGCAAATTTATTTATTTTATAGTAAGCTATCAATATTTTACTAAAAGCACACTATTTTATTAGTTTCCTTGTAGCAGCAAACCTAGGTACTCGTTAAACCTAATGTTATTTAAATAGATCAACTGAAAATCAATTCGGCCAAATGGAAATTCGCTTAGACGGCAGGTTTGCTGCGGCGGGGGTATTGATTATTATATATTAATATTTATAATAAACAGAAAAGTCTTTTGTTAGGCTTAAATTAAATCAAGTGTTTTATCTGAGAAGGGAAGTCTCTTCCAGACACATAGTTTCGGGTTGAATACCATATTTAATCAACATTCCAAATTATTAATTCTTAAGCATTTAAGAAATTAGTTATTAGTATTATGTGTATTTTAGCTGGTCAGAATCTAGTTTAATGCTATATAAAGTTGATAAATCATCAATAATGTCGATAGTCTCCAGCTTCTGATCGCTTAAACATGTTGGTGTTATTTATAGCAGGTCTGCCAACGTATAACTTCATCGGACGGCCATTCTCTCTTGTAGATTTATCGATGCATCAATTTATATCAGATTACCTTATCTACTTTATTTATATCGTAAACTTCAATTATTTATTGGTGAAACGTTATGGTGTCTGGAAATAAAAATATGAAATATATAATACTTAATAGATGTTATTATTTATGAGATTTCCTATTACCATTTAAAATGCACATACACATTTATTGATTATTTCATGTATGTGACTGTGTGTATTTTAACTTTTGAAATATAATTTTAAAGTAGTGATATTATGTTGGAGATTTATATATGTCTAATCTTAAAATACGTAACGTACACATACTTGTTCATAGATCGTTTATTGAGTTCCAATTATTAGAATCAAAATATTTATATCGTACTTGGAAACACTTAACTATATGTAGTAATAGACATATTCGAGCTTTAAAATGCTTTTTGATTCTGTATATAAATAACAATATTTTTATTTTATCTCAATTACAAAAATGTTATATTTAACCAAGATGTGCAGTATTTTTTATTCTAAATACGGTAAACACCTTTGGACGTAAACTAAATCATTATCCAATTATACAAATTTTATATAAACAAATTTGCTCTTTATGTAAAATATGTACTAGAATAATACTCTTAGTTTATTAAGGCTTAATGTAGTACCTACTTGGGGTTTGTCCTACTGTATTTTCGAAAATTCAAATCAATAGTGAACATCTAGACTAGTATAAGTGAAATTTTAGTGTCCTCAATAATCTTTGGTATTAATTATAAGACTCAAAAGAACGATATGTTCTAAAGATACTTTAAAGGTATATTTAATTATGGATAATTACTATCGCAAGACTTCATTTGACATGTCTTATAGTATCAAGAGAGAATAATTTAGACACAAGGTAGGGTGAAAGGGGTCAAAACACATTTAATTCTTTTGGATATGCCGGGAACCGAACCTGTCACTCTACACAGTTTTTGTAATTGTATTTCTTAGTTTAAGTTACGAGTAAAGCGTATTATATAGGTTAATATTATGTACACTATCACCAGAGTAACATTTTTAAAATTCGTTCCTTGCTTTATGATTATTTTATATATTTTTGTGAATTACTACGACTAATAACCAACATTAAATACAAACTGGTAGTATATTTATCATAATCTATCAAAAGCCGATACATCCACAATATTTGAACATAATCCATCCCATGATACGACGCTGTCGTTGCTAGGGCTGACGTCAAGTCTAAGATAAACCTGCCAAAGTTTTCATCATGATTGATGACGGTGTAAAATGCCTGCTCAACAATACGCCTAAGAGCCTATAACGATGAAAAGATTCTTGGTAGAAATGTTTGAAGCTACGATACCTTCTGGCTACGGTATTATAAACTGATTCAATGTTTCAACGAATACAATGTTTCAATGTTGTTTGTACTTATCCGAGTCCAGTTTTGTAGTAATGGTGAGTTCTTAGACGTGACTTCAAACAGTAATGTAATAGTTGAGAAAATTCTGATGATGTTTGCTGCTACGATCGATTTGTTCGAAGGTTGCTAGGTTGCTAGTTTGATGTCAAGCAAAATGGTCTCTGGATCCATGTCATTTGACAGTTTCGTTACAAAAATTGTTTTGAATTGGTAATGGCAGCAAAACAAAAATTAAATTCTACATTGAAATAAAACAAAACTAAACTATAGCTGCGTACTAAACTCAATATTACATTGATGTAAAATATGTATGGTGTATTCCATGCTTAACAAACCATCGATATTCTTAATATTTTGGGCTTAAGTTCAGTTTCATTTTCATTAATGAAATAAGGTGTTACAATTAGGAAAAGCTAACCAATTAGTGAATAAAAGAAATAAGAGCGAAGAAATAGAGAGACGTTCATACACAATATGAC